AACTTTTAGCTAATCTGGTAACTACACCGCAGTGGCAAATCCACACAAACACTCAACACTCATGAGTCTGATTTGCAGTTGTAAATATTGAACAGGCTTTACAGTTACTGTTTTTCAACCAAATTGGCCAGGGTAAAAAAAAAAAAATCACTCTTAACACTCCCCACACCACAGGATAATGGCTCAGGGTATTTTTAGAGACAATCAATAATAATCTTAAGCGCAAACAAAATGCTAACATTTGCCACTATTGTATGAATTGAATGTATGCGGGTACCTGCCTTGATGAGGCAAGCATGGCGTTTTAAGCATAATAGAGCGTCTTATTTTTACTTCCCTCCTACCTCCTATATTATGTAACTATTTTTTTCCAATGATTTTATGATAAAAATTCAAATCCTTGAAGGTGAAATATAACTTGGACTCTGCTTTATAAATTTTTTGTTGCACACTACACAAAACGTTTTTTGAACGATGGACTTGGTTCCCTTGCTCAAGGACACCCCAACAATGGCCAGAAAGCAGACTAGCATCTCTCCAATAACTGGTTGCCATTTTCATATTTTGCCTACTTGACCCTTGACCCCCGTTTCCATAGTCCAAAGTCCTGACAGATGAACGAATGCCGTCGCACGTAAGCGATACAACTTCATGGCTTTTCTAGCAACTTTCACGTGGTTTAATTGGTTCCACCTACCCTCAAAGGTAGTCAGCCAGGGACGGTAATTATTCAACTATTGTTTATCATTCAAATCCACAGCGCAGCAAACGCATTCTGGTGGATGACAAAGTCAAACGTGAAAAGTTCACTGGGTCACAATTTAATTGCGTCGTTAGCCGGAGAAGCAGAGGGTCTTGGAGCAATTAGTGTCAGTTTTTTAACACATAATAAATTGCGAGTCCTCACATCAGCTTGTGGGAATGCAAACCACTTTAATATATATTTTTTTCAGATTTCACTGTATTTACTTGAAAGTCAAAGCAACAAGTGACATAATTATCTGTCTAATTAAGCCGCCGGAACACCAGCGCAATGCCGGAGCACCTCGGAAACACTGAGCGCGTCGTTCATTAGCATGTGCCATAAGCTTATTAATCATCTGACAGCCAATTAGCACACTGTTACCATTTGCAGTGGGTGTGTAAATAAATTCCTGGGTTAATTTCTTCCTCCGATAATAAAAGGAGCATGATGAAAATGAGCTCTATGTAAATGATGCGTGTCGTTAATTGCACAGCGGCGATAGATGTTTGCCGTGCGCCGGTTTGGTGATGCAACAAATATTTCCCGGGCTGTTAGGGAAATTAAACGTCTCGCTGCTTATTCCCTATAGGACTCAAGCTGCAGTAATGGCATTTACCAGGCCTCGGGCACACTGATAATGACAATGCTGCTTGGCTCGCAGCCCGTGGGAGGCGGATGACAGTCGTCTCAAATATAGACAGCACGGACATGCAAAAAAGGCACACACACTGGCCACAGGAGAAGGGGAAAGCGTGGGCTTTAAGGGCTTTCGGCCGCTGGAAATTAATAATAATTGCCTTCTAATAAGGGCTGTGCCATTAGCAAATTAGCTCTCAGTTGAGAGGCACCACAGTGGAACAGACAGTCACTATCTAATGGGAATCACTTGACCAAAATAAACACGTACGCTGAATCCATTGAAAACAACTGATGACCACACGGCTCTAAACAAATTAGCTGTGTTATGTCTCCCCAAGTAATCTCTTCAAGGCCGCACAGCGTGTTTACTGAACAAGTGAGCGATGCGCGCCTGTCTCTGTATCGTCTTTAAACCTCACCTCGACAACCGTGCGAGCGCCCGCCGCCCGCCATGTTGCGGCGTATTGACGAATGCTTCAAGCTGGTCTTAATCATGCATGTGACAGGGCAGGAAATGGAAGCCGGAGCAGACAGAGTAGATGAATGGAGCGTTTAGGTGAGGTGGCTTCCATAAAACAGCCCGATGTGCAATAACAGGACCGCTGCTGCTGACACGCTCGGACTTTCTGACTGTGCAGCACAAACCCACTCAGCACGGACATCAGGAGAAACACGAGCTTCATCGATGCCAACAACGCATACGTGGCGTGAGTACGGATCCACTTTAAGACCACAAGTATGCGTCTACTGCACACTCATCCACCACAAAATTAGGTACACCGGGAACACCACCCACCGAAAGGCTTCGTAACTAGAGATGTCTTCCAAGCAATCTGGCGTTACGATACAGTATGTGTGTGTGTGTGTGTGTGTGTGTGTGTGTGTGTATGACTTGCACATGGTCTAATCTCAGCAGGCCAGTGAAAGATACATGAGCACTCACTGCACTGCTTTGTTACTTAGCAGCTCAGCAGATGTCACAATACCTTAACCCTTTCGTGCACCAACAGTGATAACCTGTAACCTGATGACAGGATAAGCTGTCCACTATAGTAACTGCTGTACCTATATACCATACGTAGGAATAATTTAATATTTAATATTCGACATTAGAAACAACACTCCTTTAACGATATTGCACGCTGCCTGCACCAAAAAAAAAAAAAACCACATCAATAAAAAGTCACAAGTGATTGTGAAATTAGCTTCAGTCCACTAAGTAGTACACTGGAAGTGGTGTCGATTGGTTTCAAATAGGAGCACAAACAGCAAGTATCGTGTTCGCTCCATAAATGTAATCTATGCTTGCCTATTGGTCCCTTTTTGTCCATTTTAACGATTTGTGTTCTCATACTTGTTCTAATAAGCAGTGATTGTGTTCTTGTAAGCGCATTCAGTTGTCATTTGTCCATGTATAAATGAATGGCTTGCAGTTTATTAGTTGGAGATACCAGAGCGCTAAGTAATAAATACAAACTATATAAAAACATAAATGCAGCTTACCATCACCTACAGGAGTGGAGTACAACAGCCTCAAAATAAACTGGTTCAATTTCCATTACTCTGCTGCTTGCCCCCCGACCACCACCACCAGCCACCCCATCATGTTTTATAAACAGCTGAATAAATTCACAAACATGTCATCTCCAGTTTGTTGACCAAGTTGTTTACTGCTTCATTTTACTCACATGCCATATTTAGTAGTCACTAAGATTTAGTGTATTACGCGACTGCTCTCTCTGGCAAGATGTTTTTTTTTGGCCTTGGCAAAGGTCTGAGTGCCATTCCACTGTTGCTGCAATCTGCTCTGGAGCCAATTTAGCCCCCCAGGACCACAGTGATGCTATCAATTACACATGAGCAAAACAGGCCGGTATTTTTATATCCTCTGTACATTTGGTTCACAAATCAATTAACATTTAGAGGATAGCAATTAAAAACGAGCAAAACCTTCCCAGCATTGTCATCTGCTCCTGAAGAAAAAAATGGCTTAATATAGCAGTAGACTCAAAGGAGCACTTGCCAGGACCCAATCTTTTGCAATCAATAGCAGCAGGCAGGCAATATAGTTTGAAACAAGGAAACGCTGGGAGGGGCTGAGAGAGCAAAGCAGGGAGATGGGTCAATATGAGTGTTTGGGTTTAAGAGCAATGCAGTAGAAAGAGCCTGAAGTGCGGCTGGATATGAGCACCACTTCCTGAGCCGAGGGTCAGCGCGTTTCAAGGAGAGGAGGCGGCCTATCAGAAGGCCTCTTCAAAATCTATGAGAAAAGCTGCGCCATTTAACCTCCAGAGTCAAAGGACAACAGCTAAAGGGCGAGAGGCCGCGGGGAGATGCTGCGGGAGCGCCTCCGGCTGTTATCAGCCGCCCCCGTAGGGACATTGGCAGGCGACTGTGGCATTTCAGGTCAGAGAAGATTCCATTCTCTTGATAACTCTGCGGGCGCTGTCTGTCAAAGTTGATGAAAATTCAAATAGTGCTGCGAGAAGCATGAATAGGGAGGCACTTGCCACCCATCCAACGCAAATGTCACAGCCTCGCTAGCATAACAATGACAAGCAGCAGAGCCGGGCGGCCAAGCTAATGGAGAGCCTTTTTTCCAGTCAGTGAAGCTGTCGCCTCTGTGGGGGCCTGTCAATGTTACAGCCCGGCTTCCTGTGCCAGCAGAGCGAGCTGGCAGAGGACACCGCTTTATCGATCCGTCAGCAATCACACAAACAATTTGGGCTGGAGAAAAAAAACCCTCGCGTTCAAGTACTCAGAGGCGAAGACAAGATCTGATTTCTTTGTGCAGCACAGGAGAGGCTGGAGGAGACGCGACGGTGTCACTGATCTTTACCAGAAGCCTCGAAGTCAAGAGCACGCCGATAACGACTCGTGGCTCCCTGTCGTCATACTTGGACCCCCACCTTGCCCCCCTTATGACCCTGTGGAAACACTTTCTGCACAACTCATCAGCTCCTAGTCCTGAAGCACATGCCGGAGTCATCCGCATGTATCACTTTTGATGACAAGGCCAGACTAGCTCAAAGATCTCTATGAGAAACACAGTGCATATGGAAAATATCCACAGAGCTTCACCTTTTTCACATTTTTTTTAATGTAACTTGTTCCAAAAATCTGGATCTGAAAGTCGGCGCTTGGAATTGAAGCGGATTTATATGGGACAGGAGAGGTGAACCAGTCTCTCTTTTTCGTCAATGGAAGCAACAGCTTCTTGTTTACTTTCAAACTCGGAGCAGACGTGAGCACATTTTGAGCATTACATCTCTGATCCACTGGTGAAAAGACACTTTGATTCTTTCCTCTTTCATCGATAACCACTTCAAACAACAAGGCATATGCTGGAGTATGGTTATGATTGCATGACTGCCCATATCTTGTGTTGTGTTGTGTTATTACCATATTTTGTTATTTTATGTTAACTGTCCTGTAAAGCACTTTGTTACATGTTTTTGTTCTACTAGGTGGCTATTAAAAACCAAACTAACAGACGACAAGGTTTTGTTATGGTTTGCTTGGGAACACCGAAAGATATTTATGCCCTTGTCTATAATGTGATAAACGTTCAGTCACCGCATCGAAACAAACCAAAACAACTGATGAAACAACTCACCATTACACTGAATGCAGTTTTTCAAATCAGTGGGAGCCTTGTGCAGGTTTTTCTCTTCAACGAGTTGACTGGTCTCATCTTGTGTTCCACACTCCACAATTCACTGTGCTGTAAGATGAGAAATTGTAGTCAGGCTCCCAAAAATTAAGCATTTTTGTGTTTCATTCTTTCTATTTAACTTGTCCTTTTTTTTACTCGATGACATTTTGTCGATGGGGGGAGTTATAGGGTCCCTCTAACCTTGGGGTCCGAAGAAAGTCTTCCCATTTTTCCTCCCAGATTGAGTCGGTTGAAGTTAAATGCCCTGTAATTTACACAAAATGACCACTTGAACCTAAGATGGCCGACTTCCTGTTTTATTTTGTGCATGGGTCCTTCAGACATTTTAGTGCTTCCTGTCATGATGGAAATGCCCATGAAAATTCGGTGTCAATCAGTGAAACTGTGGTTTGAGCCGGGAGGCATGACATTTTCAAAGACGTTTTGAGGTTCGAAGACGTTTTGAGGTGTCCTCACTGGCCTGTTTGGGACACTTAAAATGCAGACATTTTCAGTACCTTCAGCCAGACAGACATTTTTAGTCATAACTCAGTATAAATCATCTGTCACTGCAAACGACAACCATAACAAAGCAAAACAGACTGAAAGTGTGCATTATTATCTTTCCATTCGGCGCCTGTATTGAATTTCATTCAATTGTGAAGGCGTAAATGGTGAGTGTATCTTATAAATGGTCTGACAGTGTGAAATATGACCTTGATATGGTATGCTATTCAAATGAACCTGTCGATTTATGGCGTACACAAGCAAACGGAGGTATGATATCCTCGCAGAGGATTGGAGTGGGTTGGTATTCATTGCCTTGCGTCAGTGTAGCAGCGGCGAAGCAGATGTGCACAAGTCTGTGCGGCTTCAATCAAACGGCTCACCATGACGTCTTACAGCTTGCAGCCCGCCACCTGCATCTGCCCCCACCCCGGTCGCCATAGTGACAGAGACGGGGCTAAGTAGGGATGGCTTAACGGCAGCAGAAATGACAGAAGACATTGATTACGTCCACTCTTCATCTGAAACCATAACATGTCCATATGGATGGATGATTACGTATTTCACCGAAAAATCACACATTCAAGTTACCTTGAATGGAAGATTTTTTTATGGACAAAACATGCCGCAGACTATTGTGTAATCACCTTCAATTAGGTGAGTTATAAATGGCTAAACCAAAACATTGAACCCTTATATATTTGTAGCCCTTCCCCTCCGACATGCAGCTTGCTAGCTAGCTATGCCTACACCCCAAAAATGCATTTTCCCTTTGGACAGTCCACTGGCACGGCCGCTTAAGAGTGCGTCGTTGTCAGACGTGAGGGCGCGCATATCACACAGAGACTGGCGGAAGAGCGAGGTAAAGTGTGCAATATTAATTTGCATCCATTTTTCCAGGTTGTAGAAATTATATTTGAGTGAAGTCTGATTTCACAGCCAGTGTGAGGACCGGGGCTTTGGGCTGGTGTCACCACTTTAGAACGCCGCATTGTCGGTCTGCTGTGAGTGTGCGCATATCATGGAGAAGAGGCCGAAGAGTGAGGTAAAAAAAAAAATATATATATATATATATATATATATTAAGTCTGATGTGTCAGGTAGCATCCATTTTTTTTTTCATAGAATTGGTGTTTGATTGACAGCTGAACGGGTCGTGGTTTCAACGCATTCAGCTGAGAGTGGAGAGAAAAGCTTGAATTTTCACGATGATCAGGCCTGGTTCAAATTTGTCAACTTCTCTGTGTTGGTTTAAATTTAGAAGACATTTATTTTCAGTTGACAAGGACCTTAAAAGGTTTTTAAACGGTTTACGTTCTATTTTCATGCTTCTTTTAGGGAACATTAATTACCCTGCACAGTTTTTACGCTAATGACCTTCATTTAACCTTTAAAACACATCGCATAATTTCAGCACTATTTCAATATCAATAGCTGAGTCGAGTTGGGCAATTATCTTTTATCATACGCTGTGCTGTCAGCTAGAGGGAATAATAATAAAAGGTTTCCCCTGCGAGGCGCTGGATACAAAAAAAAAAAAGGTGCTGAAGATGCTATCTAAAGGCATTAATGAATTATTCAATAATGACTACAAGATCTGTCATCACCTAAAAATAAAAAATTTAAAAAAAGCTCTGCTAACACCTGCACCATAAGGGGAGGGGCTGGCGTTCCTCTGAAGATAAACATGACAAATTGGCAGATCATCTGTTCAATTAGGACAGTGGAGCAGGTGTGCCTGCGAGGCCACAACTCGCTGCCGTTAGTGAGCCAAAACAGAGGCATGATGGGAAATACCTTGTTTGTGTGACAGTGATTCACAGCCAGGCACCAGAAGGACACCTCGGGGGAAAAAAAAAAAGACAGGCTATTCCCCTTGGTACTCATTAAAATTCAACTGCAGACGGCGCCCAGCTCCAAACACACCTCTCACCACTACTTTGGTACTGGACCTTACAGGATCATGTCTTATTAATCCATAAAACATAGCGCACTAGTGATTGGATGGAGGCGAGCAGTGGAGCAGCAAAACATGAGACGTGGAAAAGAAAATCTCACATTTGGGTGAGCGAGAGAGCGGGCAGGTGGGGAGGGCTGAGGAGAGTAGGTGTTGGAATAGGGAGGAATGGGTGAGAGGGGGGAGGCGCGTGGCGGGCTGCAAGCAAAGAAACATGTTTTGAAATATTAATCTGTGCGCTTGTGGCCGTGGGGTGGTGCACGTAAAAAAAAAAAAAAAAAAAAAAAAAAAGGCAACCTTTGAAGCCCCGGAACATTCCCAGCATCCGAGAAGCAGGCGGCCATGTCGATGGAGAACAACGGGGGGTGGGTGCCGTGCGCTCCCCTCATATCGGAGAGCCCTCGTCTCCATTCTAGCTCGTACGTGGTGTTGGTGCAGAGCGTATTTAGAGTGCTCGCTTCCCCGGCTCTGACGCAAATGAGATGAGTGTGCTACTGTGGCCTAATCCCTGGTGCCTTGTAAAGACTCAGATAGGAGCACTTACTGCAGCACAAACTATCGTTACGTCTTAATGCAGGAAAAGGCTACTTTCAAGGTTTGGAGTAAGTGACGTGACGAGAGAATATTGTCCTCATGGGACATGTTTGCACTGATCGTTCAGTTTGTTCGAGAAAACCCTGACCTATGCTGTGTTTAGATGGGATGCCAATACATTGGTCACAGTGGGCCAAGAGGAGGTGCAGTGGTTCTTTGCGAGATGAGGAACTGCATTTGAAAAGCAGTCTGCCAGTTGCCATGAGCTAGCGGCTAGTGACTAATGAATAGTCAGGCCATGCCAACTAAATGCCAGTTCCGTGCCGCTGCTTGAGGAGTTAAAATGTAAGCGTCTATACATGGGGCTTGTTGCATGTGTTCAGTGACTCTAAGTGCAGCCTTATCGGATATGTCAATTGAAATTTATATGTAAATATATTTGGAGATAGGCATTCAATGACGATCGGGCACTCGGACCAGCAGTGTAAATTCAGCCTCAGGCAGTATAGCCTCTAGTTTAGCCTTCTATTTTGACGTGTCTGGATACTTTTCATCAGCGATCAGTCCCTCGGTGGTTTCACCCATGATGTGACTAAGCATGCACGAGAACAGCCCCAGCAGCCACAAGCACAGTGCATACCACCCAGCGTGAGGTCAAAAAAAGTGAAGGCTCATTAAACATAAATGAAAGCTCGATTTAGTTGACGAGCTTGATGTGGCGTCCTCGCGTTTCACCGCCGCAAACACATCTGCTATGAAGGCAGTACATTAAAACACTTGGAAAAAATCACACTGGGAAATGTCATCATCATTAAAGTGTATTCAGGCTAAGTATCTTAGATGAATTATGCAGCCCGGATCAAAAGAAGGCAGGAATAACATTGAGAGACTCTTTTTTTTTTTTTCACCACCCTGCTGGGAAACTTAAAATTACCCCACGTCTGGCGATCCGCCACTAATAATAATGATAATTTCCCCCCCCCCCCCCCCCCCCTACTACAAAACCAACCAGCATAACTCGTCCTCTGTCAGTACAAACAGAAGAACACCCCGAGGGCCCGTGGTGGTTTCCTCATCATCTTGTGGAGGTTTTTATTTTTTCTCATTTATTTATTTATTTCCTCATGTGACTCAATGAAGAAGTATGCTAATAAAGACACAGTAGGTGTGGCAGGTGGTTGCAGGTGTAATGGAGCACAGAGGCAAGGCTGCGTTTGCTATGCTGCCCTCTGTAGGCCTCCCGGTGGGGCTGCAATGACACGCCGCCTTGCACACAGCCTGCAGCACAGATTAAAGATGTATGTTTAGGCTAGATCAAATAGAATAGGGAATCTACTTGGATACACAGAGAAAAGCATGCACGATATTTTTTTTTTCAATAAAACTGTACATTCTGTATGCTCGGGGCTTTGTCTGAGCCTGGAGTCGTGCAAGCAGATAACGTCCATCAAGGCGGCCGCCATCAAAAGAAAGAAGCATCCTTAAAAAGCAGAGGTAGTGCTTGTGATTTGTGCATTTTAAGGACAATGGCACCCTTAGGGATTGCCATGAAAGAAGCCGCGAACAAATAATGCCTGTCGATGGATTCTCTTCATGTAAATGAACGTAGAAGAGGAGTGTGGTCCCTTAAGAGATGTCAAAGTGGTTTTTGCAAATGCATAAAAGTGACGCCTGCCACCCTCACTTGTCATGTAAGGGTTCGCAGGAAGGAAATGAGATGGCAAAAAAAAAGAAAAAGCAAAAACTCAGGCGGGAGAATGTGTTCTATGCACCACCGATGACGACAATGTCTGCATGTCCTTCAGGATTTTATGGTAAACACAATAAACAGACAATCCTCCTGAGAGCCGCCAACGCTTCTCTCCTTGTCATCCCTCAGGGAAAGTACTCTTCCGGCACCGGCACAAATACAGCAGGAGCCTATTTCTGTCTTTCTAGGTACAACCTAGGCATTTGATTAATAGACTATAAGCTATCCGGTTGTTTCTAACTTTGAAAAAGGTACTCCAGTGACTTGGACTATTTTTACACGGCATGGATCAGGGTGAGTGAACTCCAAAATCATTTATGG